CCCCCCCCTTCCTCCTCCTTCATCCCCCGTCTCAGCGCATCCCCACACCCCCTCAGTGTCCCCCCACCCCCGGGGTTTGCATCATCCTGCCAAAAGTGGGGCACCCCCCCCCCGGCACAAGTGACACTGAGCTACGGCCACGGCAGCAAACCTGAGGGAACAGAGCCCAGAAATCCCTTTTCTCTGCTGCCGACCGCCCCTGGACCCATCGCTAAGCGCAACAATTCCAGGCAAAATGCGATTAAAGTTGCCCCTTCCCTGGATGAGAAGCACAAGATGGCTTGGGGGGGGTGGGGGGTGCGCATGTTTTAAAGTCGGAGCGGTTGATGCTTACGCAAAAGGTCTCCTCTAGAGGATGGGTTTATAAATATTTCACCTACTTTAGCTAGGAAAGACTAGCAATTTTTAGAACGCTCTTTCCAGGCAAAGCGGAATGGATGGAGCTCAGCTGCACACCGGGTCCCCTCCCTCGCCGGTACTCACCCATCCTCTGACCCGTGCTCCAGGAATGCTGCTCCGGGGCTGGCGCTGCTCATTTCCACCTGGACATAGCTTAATGTTTAGCTAATCTAAATTACACCCCAGTCCTTGTTCTTCCCCACCTGTGACATCAGCTAGAGCCTTCGCAAAGTAAGGAGAGCAGGATCACATCTTCTCCCACCCCCCCCAAGTGAACAAAGCGACCCTGAGCAATAGCTTAGAACAGGGGAGCAGTAAAGCCCTGATTGCCCCTGAGGGAGAACTCCTGTGCCTGTTGGGCACCTGCACCTGAAAGCATTGAGCCATCAAAAAAAAAAAAACCAGCCCAGCTGCCCGCAGGGCCGGAGCAATGTTGTTAATTCTTTTTCTATGGGGAAACTGAGGGCCAGAAAAGAATGAAGTGATTTACTTACAGACACGGAGTGAGTCAACAGCATAGGCGGAAATTGGGTTTTATCATTATGTGATAAACCATCTTCCTTAATAGCCTAGATGGCAGGATGGAGGGGGGGCTGATGCACAGGCCTGGGAGCCACAGCCTCAGGCTCTCCCTGCCAGGCAGTGAGCAGCTTTGAGAGGCCACCCCCCTGCAGCCCCTCAGCTTCTCTTTCCCCATCCCTAAGCGGAGACAAAACAGCACAAGGGAGGGAGGATTGTGAGAGGAAAGGCCTTTCCATCAGAATGCTGCTGGGAAAGTCACCTCCTGCCCCATTTTGTCCACACATCTCATGCGTGGAGCTGGAGGTACCTGATGAAACAGCAGATCCTTATCTTCCCCACACCAGCTGTCATGCCCCAAGAAAAGGGCTGACAGGGCTTTACCCGTGGTTCCCCTGGACCACATTCTTGATCTCAATCTTGATCTTGGTTCTCTCTTTACTGGACAGGGAGTCAGGAGAGCTGCACTCTCCTCCTGGCTTCCAGTACTGCATCACCATCACTTGATAGCATCAGCTCTCCAGGCCTTGACCTCCCCAACCACAAAATGGCTGAGCAATGCTTTCCCCACCCTTGCAGGCTCACTGCACCCGCTCCCAGGCGAAAGGCAGCATCCAGGCACCAGAGGCTGCCAGTGTTAGTACAACCCCAACCCAGCTGCATCAGCTGACCCCCGCTTTGCTAAGCAATGGCCTGAATGCCAGCACCCTGGCTTCCAGGAATAGCAGGCCATTTTATCAGGGATAACGCAAATCATGCAAGCTATGCTTGCAAATAAGAAACGAAGCGTAGGTGGGTTAGTCACCATAAGAACACACAGATCCTTTCTGGCTCCACATACTGAAACCCAGATCCTCGGAGGTAGCTCATAAAAATGCAAGCCACAGGACTATGAGTATATGCAATACCAGAATTAGCTTCACGAGGAGGCACTTTGGGCTGTTTTCCAAACTGAAATCGATGTTGTACTTGCAATGAATTAAACACCCACATTTTTGCGCTTGCTGCAAACTGCAAAGTGAAAGCATGAATGAAGGAATAGCGGAGCAGCACGATTAGAGACAGCGGCGTCGGTTGGTGCGTGCCATTGCTGCTCAAAAAGATCCAACGTGCGTTTGAGAAACACCTTCCCCTTCTGCTTCCTGGGCCCTCGCACCTTCCTGGGGCAGCAAGAAGAATGACAGGGTGTTTTTTTTTCCACGCTGTATCAGTTAATCTTTTCAGCTAGTGGAGCAATTCCTTCCTTTAATGTGATCAGTCCTGCCTTGCAGTGACTAATGCATGGGGCTGCAACCTAGAAGCCAGATTTTGTCCAGGTTTGCTGTTGTGATGCCGACATCACTTCTCATAGCCCAGTCTCAACGCAGTGGGGAAATTCAATTCTAGTAGTAGGTTTTTCTAAAAGTTTCCTCGGGGTGGAAACAGCTGAGGCCCCACATGTGGGCTTGGCACAGCAGTTGCCCAGGGGCAGGCTCCTCCGAGGCTTTCACCAGTGTTTGGGTTGGCAGCTGAGGCCAAGAGCCTGGGGCTGAGATACTGTCAAAGAGTTTTCTCCCTGTCCTCCATTTGCCAAGAGGCTACAAAGGGCAAACCTGGGCTGACACCCTCTAAAACCCCAACACGTTATCCCTTATGACCGGTGTGATGGGCCGAAGGGCTGCACGCACATCTGGAGACGGGAGCACCTAACAGCTGTAACTCAGCCCCAAACCCCGCCACCAAGCAAGCTGGGGCAGGTAAGAAAATAACCACCTTGAACCACTAAACCTGACTGAGGAAAGGTGTGATGCTTCTTACAACAGAGGGTAAACCCTTCATACGACGGGTTGGATTATTCTAGGCTGTGTGTAAGATGTTCAGCAACCTGGGCTGGGCAGCTGGAACTGCAGCACACGAGAGCTCTTCACCTCGTGTATTTTGGGGTCAAGAGTTTCAAAACACACCGTGTGATTTGGAAAGCTTTGGCTCCACTTCTAGGTCAAACATTAGCCGGAGATCTTGGCCCAGTTATTACAGATCCTGTCACACTTGTCTAAAAGGAGGAAGCACTCACCTACACGTTTTCCTACCGTCCAACTGAAATAATTCACACGCCCACTGCGATTTAGCTGCAATCAATGTGCTTCCTCCTTTGCTGCTCTAGGACTGCGGCAGAGGAGGGCGGGCTGCAATGAGACGAGGAGGCTGAGCCTCCCGAAACACCCCTGTCATTAATGACACGCAAATAATCTTGTTGAGGGCAGCAGAGATTGTCCCCACTTTGCAGATAGGCTGAGAGACCCGGGGGGCGATGGGTGACCTGGCTTGGGCACCCTTGTGAGGCAGGAAAACCCCCGTAAGGGCCACGGGGAGGGAGGTCACTGAGTGTTTGGGTGCCTGGGAATATCCAGAAGCTGGTTGGGTCTGCTGGGAGGGTTGGGACTCCTCAGCCCCAGCAGCTGCCACCGCCACCAGACTGGAGGAATGAGAGCGGCAGATGGAGGAACTGGTTTGGCGATGGCTTGTTACTGGGGATCTGCCCACACTGTGAACGTGACTCAGGCGGGCTGGGTGCTGGCTGGGGGTGCAGCCTGGGGAGGGGGATGAAGGGTGCAGCATCCTCCCCTAAACCAGCCGTGGGCCCACACCATGGCCCTGGCCCCAAAGATCCCCAAAGATCCCACAGGTCCCCCCGTACCCCACCTCTGGCTCTTCCCAGGTGCCCAGACCCGGGCAGGGGTAGTTTCTCTTCAGCACCGATGGGCCAGAGGGCAGGAATATGTGAAGGGGGTTGCTGTGCTGAACAGCTCTGAACTGGGGGAGATTTTCAGCTGCTAGAGCTGTGGGAAACAGGGCTCCGCCGTCCCTTCCCCAGCTCTGCCCTTCAGTTGCTTTGCAACCATGGGCTGGGCATGTCGGCTCTGCGCTTTATTTGCCCGATAGGCTTATGGCAATATTTGTTTAGGGCCTTAGGATCTACACAAGGGACCACAGAAACATTTTCCTATTGTGCACCAAGTTTCTGAAGTCTCGTGTTTCAAGCCCCTGCAAAGGTCAGGTAGTGGGAAATTCCTTTTGTACCAAGTCTGCGTCTGGGAGTTTACTACAGCCAAGCCAAAAAGTGCCCCGCTGGCAGGAGTGAAAATGAAAGGCGTCCTGGAGCTGCACGGAAAGCAGCTGTGGGGAATGACTCTGGGGGGGGTAAGGAAGATGGCACGGCACGGGGTCTGGTAGCCTGAGTCCCCTCACACCCACCACGGAGCAACTCGCCGCTCGGGAGCCTGCCAAGGGACCTGCGTGCCTCAGACATCAGCGCTACCTAGCTGAAATTCAAAAACAAAGCGGGTCCTTCTCCTACCAAACAAAAAAAAAAAAAAGAGAAAAAAATTATATCCTGTACAAAACTATCCTGTATTCAGTAAAGTTTATTGTCCAATGTTGGCTTTGGAGCGTTCACAATACAACTGTAACATAAGCCTTAGCAATAAAATGAGCACATCCACAAAATAGTCCATGTCACATCTGAAATACAAAAATTGAAATATTCTTATAAAACATTCAGACACAAGATTGATAGATGGATACAATCTTTTATTCTTTTTTTTTTTTTTTTTTTTTTTTCACCTTTCCATTTATTCCAGAAAAACTTTCTATAAAAAAAAAAATCATTGCTTCTTTTGGAATAAATCTTTAAAATCGTTTCTTTTAAAATGCCTCTTTCATTTGTACAACACTTGTTAAATATATTATTGGTATTCTGCAAATGGATCACACCAGAGAACATTCACAGTATGTGTATCCTGCCCGCTTGGATCTATTTTTCCTGCTGTAGGACAAGCGTGATGCTGAGAGAAGGCAATGAAGAAGCCAGAAAGTGGGTTTTATAGTGTTTGTGCCCAGACGTGGCTAGTGGGGAGTGCTAAGGGGACATTCAAATGAATTTTTCACAAGAATTGAGCGTACGGAGACAGGACAGCTTTGGGCAGGTGAGCTCATGTCACTTTTATCCTCAGGTATTTCGGGATCAAGACGTGATGGCCCTGGCAGGCTGCACGATGCCGGATTTACGCTGGTGAAAGCAGAGTTTGGCCACGTAAGGCTGGGCAGGCTCCCACCCCCAGGTCCGGTCCCTTCCCCGTGCCCTGGGGCACACACACACACTAAAACCTTTTACATCACTCAGTCCCGTGGGTTAGACTCTCTCTAACCTGCCTGCTCCTAGCCTGCTCAGGGAGCTCCGGCTCCTTGTTTAATTTCTGATTGAAGAGTAGTCATGGGAAAAAAAAAAAAAACAAACAACATTTGAGAAGCTTGGGAAAATGGCTTTCTAATTTTATTTTTTTTTTCTTCATCATGTGTAAAGGAGAGGAAAAAAAATCCACTTATTTTGTCCTTAGTCTCCAAGACACAATGTAGTTTTGTTATTTAAAATCTTAACACAGATCTGGCAATGGGCTGGGCCAGGAAAGGCGTGTGCATGTGTGTATAGAGAGAGTGAAATTAAATAGCTCTGCCTGTAGGTTTTATTGTCCCAGAACACAGACCTTGCTTTACACATTTACTTACATTTCTTTAACTAGCTATCAAGCTGGAGAGATGAAAGAGTACAGACTTTCCTGAGGGCATAGCCAAAACTCCATTTTCCACCAGAACTGGTAAAAAAAAAAAAACAAAAAAAACCCCAAACCAACAAATTGCAAGAAAAAAAAATGTCTGGAAGACAAAGCAACAGTTTCCTTTTGTCAAAACTCCTCATCTGCACGGAGGGCCCAGCTACTCCGCAAAGCGGTGGATGGGAGAACCCATGAAACAAAACAACAACAACAAAAAAATGCTGGAGAGCCACAGACATTCCCGGCATTTTCATTAGTGCTACTTTTAAAATCCAGCTTGGGAGCTGGCTGGTGCTCCGAGAACTGGGGGAAACCTGCCCGGGGATGAGCTGCGATGCTGCAGATTTCCTCCCCTTGCAAGCAGGGAGGAGCAGCCCCCCGGCGCTTTGATAAACTGGGGCAGCCACGGGGTGTTGGTCCTTATAAACCCAGCTGGACCCCGCGGTGCTCAGGGGGACCGTAACATCACCCAGGAGATGGAGAAAGGGGAGCTGGCTCCGGGTTCCAGTCGCTGCCCACCTGCGGCTCCTTTTCTCCGCGGCGGGGACGGCTTTGGCGGGGAGCGTGCCGTGGGAGATCGGAGGCTCTGCCAGCTGACACGTGCAAGCACGGCGTTGTAAATCAAACCTTGCTCAGCGGGGCACCAAATATTTACACACACTATCGCCCTCCGGAATAGGAATCAAATATCCACTAAATGCAGTGGAACAAAAGGGGTTATCTTAAATTTGGGCTGTTAGTAGTGCGTAGGGCTAATAAATAATAGCGTCTCCTTTTGGGAGGATTTGCAGGAGGAAAGGCAAAGGCTATGAAAGAATAAACAGCCGCTAACAGGCCCTTTGTCTTTGCTATCTGATCCCAGGTAAAACAGTCCTGTCTACACGGTCACTGCTAGGTCTTTTCCCCAATAGGTGACCTTGACCTTCAGCAGAAATACTCTTATAGAGGGGGCGAGCTGAGACCACAGCCATCTGGTCTGGCTCTGTCCTCCCAGTGTGAAAGCAGGACGGCTCAGCCGGGCACCCTCTGCCCCCAGCGGGCTTTAGGCAATCTCAGTGGATGGGGATGGTAACCCCGAGCAAGAAAACTGCGCAAAGACAGGTCAAACATGGCCTGAACGGGCTTCCAAGAGCAGGTGGAGGGGGTTCCTGCTCCCCCCCGGGTCCAATCTGTGCTCACAGACTGTGAGGGGGGCTCTGCCCCCCGGGCACACCAGCACTCTTTGCCCCGTGTGCCTGATGGTGCTGCCACAGGGGCAGAGGAGATGCTGTGAGCTGCTAATTCCTGACTCTGCACCACAGAGCCCTGCCATGCCAAGGAAATTCCTGGGTAAAATGCCTTTGTGAAAGAAAAGATGAGAGCGTGAGAGTTGAGACTTACTCCAGCCAACACCTCCCTTTGTGAACCTCCCGACCGAAAAGCCTCACGCAGCAGGAGCTGGGTGTAGGAGACGGGGCAAAACGCTGCCCCGACACCAGGGTGAAATGCGTCACTGGTGGCTGATGGCCATTCCTGCTCTTCCCTATCAAATGGAAACAATTAATGAACTATTCAGCCCTGCTGTATGCTGGACACACTGAGAAGGGAACTGAGCAGGGATGGGCAAACCTCAAACAATGCAGACGTCTGGATGCTTGTTAGGACAAACCCAAATTAACAGCTTTGGTCTGATGGGGGAAGCTCAGAGGGAGGAGTTGCCCCAGAAGCTTTGGGGAGCTCCAGGGTCTCCTCCATTTATCCTCACGCTTTGCATTTTCTGAGGATCACAGAAGAAATGCTGCACAGCAAAGCAGAAAACAAGAGCCCTCTACTCCCTGCTCAAGGGGGAAACACTAGCACAGAGAGTTAGCATCCCCTGAGCAATGCCTCCAGGCTGGGAGCCGACGGCCTCAGACAGCAGTCCCAGTGCCGGGTGACAGTCACAGCACCTGCCAAGTCCAGAATCTCCTGGCCACATCCACAGGCTGGAGGACCGGTGGGCGAGAGGACCAGTCATCCGGAACAGCCGAAAAAAGAATGTGAATATTATACAGTAGAGAGACTTCTTGCAACGCTCACACACTTAAAGATGTTTGCAGGCTGCGGGGGAGAAATGCAGCAGGGCCTCTTCGCTCGGGATGGGTTTGGCACGTTCCTGGAGCGTACGGAGGGGAAAAACGCACCAGGAGCAGACCTCGGCCAGCAGAGCACGCTCAGATCGAAGCACGCACCTCAGTCCCGCGGCATCGATCTGAGTCAGGGCTGGTATGATCTGACGCTGGCTACAAACGTAGAGGCCAGGCGACGAGGTTTGAGGGATGATTTGCTTCTCTTCGGGTCTATTTCTGGTCCCCACAGCTGAGCTGTGGGAGGTTTGGCACTTCTCCCCCTTCCTCTGGGTAGAAACGCGCTGAGGTGGGTGTGTGCAACACTTTGGTACGGCGAGGCTGCGCGGCTCAGGCTCTGCCACCTCGCGTGGGGCTCAGCGCCGGGACTCTGTCTCTTATA